CTTCTGATGGTTATCAGTTGTCAATTGAAAGAATGGTCGAGCAAGGTCAGAAGGAGATTCCTCCGTGGATGTTTGGCATAAGATTTCCTTTCAGTTCCAGTGCATATTGTCGCATCTTCATGATCTTGTCTTGAGTCGTGAGCGGTGCGGAAGGCGACTGAATTGCTGCGGTGCTGGAGTTTGTCGTTGAATCAAACTACCGTCACTAGTTAGATTACAGCTTGGACTCTTTGGGAGTAAGTGTTACTATAATTATGGTACAGTGCTGATTTTCACATGCGGCATCTCATAATCAGTTTTGCTTGCAAGTAGATGCATTTGCATACACTGTTTTGTATCACATTTCAATCCAATCTTTTGTAGCCTTTTCCAATCGGGTTGAAGTACATGTACACTGGTATTTGTACACTGGTATTATAAACTTATTTACGAAGGAGACAGTCTGTTGATGATCTTCAACTCTTCGAAGTACAATGTACATTGCTGACCCATTCGGGATACTTCGTGGTTATTCGACGTTCTTTATCCTCAGATTCAGTATAACAGAATACTCTGTAGACGAATTCCAGGTCATTCTTCTTTTCCATTGTGTACTGTTCCTCGTCAGTGTGCCGTTCTGTGTGGAGTGTACACCATGGTACACGTGCATGTGGTGTCCGTTGTGTCTGTTTATGTATGGTCCGTGCGCTGGAGTACTGCCGCCGTACAAGTTCAGGGCTAGTACTTGTACAGAAACACGTGGGCGCCATTTTGGTTCACGTGACATGTGCCCCACCATGCTGTGTACAGGGAATCTTGCCATACTTCGCGTCGACTCTGGCCTGTTCAAATCCACGCAAGTGAGCCACAGTTCTCTCGAGCAGGCTGAGATTTTGCAGGCACCGAGTTCAGATGCGGGCAAAGGGATTCACCGAAGGATTTTTTGATTTTCGCAATTTGGACCTCAAATAACACCCTCAAACTCGGTAAACGTGTCCCACCTCTAGGATCGTTTTGGCAAAATTCGCTTCGGTCAAAGTATGGAGCATCTCCTACTGCAAATTTTGAGCCATCGATTGTCAAAATCGGCTCATGTGGAGCTCACTTGTGTCGTTTTGAAGGACGCCGCGCCACGCGCGATTTGCGCTGGTTCTTTCACAAACCACTGCAAACGGAAGACACCTTCCAGTCAGAACTGCAGACTGTGACAGTGCAGTGCGCACGGCAAGGAAAAGGAGACGTGCATTTTCCATTTGTTGCACTGTGTCCTTTGCTTTTATTGTTCACTGATAACATGTTCGCAAAATCTTGAGCCAGAGAGAAGACTGACTTACAATCTGATTCATCTAGGCTTCAGCGTGATGCACGCATCCAGACCATAGGAAATATTAGAGTCATGGGAAAGGAACCGGGAACCACGAGAATAATTTTCTGGAGCGAATCCAATTATTACCATGGTTCCTTGTTCTTGAACACCGCGCTCCACATCGTCAATGTTCTGCGAGGTAAGGATTTCAGGACTACTGTCGGTTTGTTCGACCTCTGGGCGATCTGATCTACGTCCAGCTGGCCATGATACTGAGCCGAACTGGCCACTAGTTCGCTTCTTTCTCGACTCGGGATAATCAAGCCGGTCAGAGTGCGACTTTTTCCTACCCTGGATGCGACCCATGGCGCGGACTGAAAATAACTACTGAACACCTCCTTGTACAAGCACTGACATACAAGACCGGTGGTGGATACAAACTGACAACAGGAAACCCTAACAGCACCCGCTCTGTCAAAGAAAGTCGAAGGGAAGCAGTTCGAACTAGTTCAAGCACCACCAAAAAATAAAAAAACTAGCACTTGCTCTTGCAGCTAGGTCAAAGACTGCACTGGCAAGTACACTTTTGCACAGTCGCGATCTCGCGGCCCCGCATCACGTGCGGGTATCTGATGACGTAGAGTGATTCAAGATGGCCTCTGACGTGTTTGCCGTTTTGTGATCCCAAATACCAGCCCTGAAGTTCACTGCCTTTCAGGCAGTGAACATGTACGGTGGCAGTGCCCTAGCGTACGTACCGTGCACCGGGATTTATATTCTATATAAATCCCGCGCGGGATTTATATTGGCCAATATAACCATGGCTGGACGAGCGCTGATTGGCTGAAAACAGGCCCTCCGTACCGTACCATGGTATAATAACTGGCAGTGGTGTTTCTTGCTAGTATGTATACGAGATGTATGCGTGGGTTCAACTCCGTATTTCGACTCTGAAGTCAAAATGCTTCATGTGGCCTGGATCATGCAGAGCGCACAGCTCAGGAGTCAGGCGGAAAGTCGGCAGGGGCGCGGGTACGGCCGGGTCAACGGTACTATACTACCTTTTGTTTTAGGTCTACCACAATACAGCCTCTTGTACGGGCAAGAACGAAGTAGTAGTAGTAGAATTTATTATTAATACAGCTAGCGTGTTTTGACGAAGAAAATGAGCGGAAATGTACTATGCTGTGAAACATGCATGAGGCATGATCAGGGCAAATGGCAGCTGAAAAGGTCGAAAAAAAAGAGAAAACAAACACACACACACACACAACAACAAGTTGTGCCATACGCATGAATGCTAGCGGGCAACGCCAAGGCCGACACCATCGCAAATTGCCAGCCCACCGAGACGACGACGTGAACCCCGGAGACGAAGGCCGACAGCCCGGAAAACAGCAATCTGATGGTGGATCCGCACCCAGGACATGACGTTGCCGTAGGACTTGTCCCACCTGGAAGCAAGTCGCATAGCAAGTCGCCGTTGATACGCACGGTACTCTGTGTGCAGTGCACCATCAGTTGAGCAGACCAGTGGGGTGAAGGATGCTCGCAGCTCCTCTGCGGCCGCCTTTTAGGGTGCGTTCTTATATTCTCTAGCTTCTAGAAGAAGAAGAAAAGAGAAGTCGAAGAAACTGGGATTACTCAAGAAAGGGGCTCGAAGAATTCGGAGATATTTTGCACATGTCAAGCAAAATGAAGCGTCAAAGGGGCCCGCGATCTTGAGTGATGAATGTATGTGCGTATGCGAAAAGGGAAATGCGTACACTCATGATCAACACGTAGCTTTTAGTCGTAGTTCGCATGCGCTGATCCCAAACCGCGGGAATCTCCAAGTTTCAACCACCTCTGAAGCTTGGAGAGCTTGGAGAGCTTTGGAGAGCCCCCTAAAAGTCGGAGAGGATATAAGAACAGCTCTCGAACTTTTCGGAGAGTCTCCAACTTTTCCGAGAGGATTTAAGAACGCACCCTTACTTTCTCTTCTTGGAAGAGGCAGCACTGTTGGGTACGGCGTTCCAAGAGAGGTTTGAGCGGACGTAGCTGGGTGCGTCGGCATCCACGATGCGGTTATCAAAGTATGCCATCCTGTCTCCTTCCCAAACTCCCTGGACCAGCCAATCCGCCTGCAGTGTGGGACGGTTGTTGCCATCCTGCACAGGTGCCATCACCGGCTTGACAGCCACACCTCCCCAGGCAACGTTTGTCAGCCGAGCATCGAAGTCGCGGACATCGTTGTGCCCGCGCTTGATGAGCCCACCCTTCATGCAATCCAGACCATGCTGTGGGGAGAAAGCAGCTCCACAGCCATCGCAATGCGACGGGAGAGCATTCGGCTCCTGCATATGGCCATAGCGAATAGCCAACTGATCGCGGAGCTGGAGCGCCAACATGTCATAACCTTCCTGCTTGAGAGGAAGCACGGTCAACCAGCCGGAAGCGTTGCCATTAACAATGCGGTTGAGGGTCCACTGTTGGTGACACGGAAGCGCACCATGGAGGACTCTACTTCGTTCCGTCATCTGCAGGTCTCGAGCGCGGCTGACCTCACCGGTGACTTGACGGCACTGGCTGATGTGGTGAGCCATGTCGACCGGTACACCGGTGCAAATGGCGACCTGCAGAATGTCAGTGCCGGGCGCGCTTCGATGAGGCGTGAGGCTGAGCATCAGGAGCTGACGTGACGGGATTGGCCAGGCCGAGACCCCCCCCCCCCCACTTTTGCTGGAAGGGCCAACAGATCTTGCTCAATGTCAAGCACCTCACGACCGAGCAAGCTGGGGGCGAATACGTGCCGGCCCGGATAGTGTCCCGCAGGGGGTCTACTCGGTCTCGTTGCCTTCCAACACACGCTGGAGGTAGGTCCACTCGCACGAGAGGGATCTCGTAAACACGGAGTGTGCTGACTGCAGGTACGCCTTTGCTGCCTTGGCAACTTGAGACAGTTGACACCATCGACCCAATTAAATCTCCGAGTCACTCTGCTACGGACGGAGGAAGAGACTCCCTCTGGATCACCAATGTAGCTACCCAGGAAGCGACCAGAGGTGATGACTTGCACATTTAGATTGCCGACGGTACTATACTACTGTGTGATAAAGCCTCTTGTACGCGCAAACTATTACTGTACTTTACCACTATCAAGAGTACATGAAACTTTTCATGTACTCTTGCCACTATGTATTGTACTGTTGCAGTACAGTAAAACCTGGTTTAACCGCGACCACCCCACGCCCACGGTACGGTGCAAGCAAAAGCGGTCGTTAAAGCCAGGTGGTCTTTTTTTTTACATGTACGCAGACACTGTCCCACAGTGTCTGCGTACATGTAGAACTGTCGGTGCATGGAAAGATCGGAGCAGGTGGTCGCTAAACCCAGAGTTCGCTTACACCAGGTTTTACTGTACAGTTGAACATCGATTATCCGACCACCTCTGGGCAGACAACTGTCAGGCGGTGTTCAGATAAGGCAAATGTTCCGGATAAGAAAACACACTGTAAATACATGTACATGTACATTGTAAATAATACATAGAGTGCTACTTTTCAAAATTTTCGCATTTTGAATGGCTCATGATCACTACATGCACAGTGCGTACTCTACGGCACGTGCGCCCAAAAAAACTGTTACGGATAATCGAATGGTCGGATAGTCAATGTGCGGATAATCGATGTTCAACTGTATTCGTAGTTTTCTGGGGCGGAAGTGCTGCTGCCTCCGGAGCTCCTTCGGCAAGCTGGATCGGGACGCTTCGATTTCCGCCGCCAGTGCATGTGTGGTCGTGGTTTTACTGCCGTCCAGTTGACTATGGTAGAGAAAAACCATCTCTGTGTTGGTCTATAACCCTCTCTAGCAAGACGCAATGTTTCTTCCTAGCTAGTCTGATCAGCTATGGACACGATAATGGTGCAGCACAGTCTTCAATCTGCTTGAAGAAGATTACGAGAGGACGAAGAGTTTTTCCTGTCTACAGTACATTCAGTATGGTTAATCGTAGTTAGATTGGCCGATTCGAGGCAAATGGTGGTGTGATCAAGACGATTTCCCCATCCATAGTAGTATTCTATTTTCTTTTGATGTAGTGGTAAAGGGTCTACGCATAGCTTTCCTCTCCATTCTTTTGCGGTGGTAGGAAGTATCTATTTTCTGGATGTTCATATAGTGGAGGTATTTGCACCGGAGATACACATTGGCTCTTCTTTCTTTTGGTGATCAACGCTGGAAACTAAGTAATGGCGACACAACATATCACGGAGGAGGAGATTGAGGACGTGATGTCCTTGGAGGAGGTCAAACAATGCCTGGGTGTGGATGGAGACTGTGCTGAGTATGATGAAAGATTTATTATGTCAGCAGGAAAGCGCAAGCTGGGACTCCTGGACTACCACAGGCTGCCTGCGTGGCTTCAGGACAATAACTATATTCTGACCAGATATCGTCCACAACTGAACTCGTTCAAACTATGCTTCAGAAGTATATTTTCACTTCACACAGAAACGGGTAACATCTGGACACATCTCATTGGTTGGCTGGGATTCTGTTGCTTCGTGGCGTACGCATATGCACTGCCTCTACATCATCTGACATGGTACGACCACGGTATGTTTGCTGTGTTTCTGCTGGGGGCATTCTTTTGTCTGCTCTTTTCCTGGGTCTTTCATTGTCTCCAATGCCACTCGCCCAAAGTGTTTCGAATCTGCATAAACTTTGATTATTGCGGAGTTGCGATGCTGATCATGTCATCCATCATAGCCTGGATCTACTATGCATTTTACTGTAAGCGTACATTACGTATAGTTTACACCAGCATCATGGTCCTCTTTGGTGTCCTCTGCATTGCCGTGTCGCTAATCAAGAAGTTTTCCTCGTCAGCCTATCGTCCAGTCAGGTCCGTGGTGTTCCTTGGTCTCGGTACCTATGGCATTGTACCAATGATTCATGCCATGGTGGTGTATGGTGGCCTGGTTGAAAGTAGTGGATTCAACTCCGCAGCCACCGGACCCATGCTTGTAATAGGGTTTGTGTATGTGCTTGGCCTGACGCTGTACGCTTTTCGCATCCCGGAGCGATTTTGGCCAGGGAAGTTTGACATCTGGTGCCACAGCCATCAGATTTTCCATGTGTGTGTTGTCATCGGCGTGTTCTTGCAGTCATCTGACATTTTGCACATGGCAAATGCTCATGCACATAAAACCTGCTCCTAAACTGTTGCCCCCCGCAGCTGATTGATGTGTAGATTGTGTACAGCCGCTGCTGCATGCAGTATGTAAGTCTTCCTGCTTATTTGTTCGATATGCTGGCAGCATGCATGTCACTTGTTTGTGTCTCATGTGCAACTGCTGCCTTCTATGCTTGTTTGCTGTGAATAGTGTCTCGATGGATCGATCTATCAGCATTACTCTTATGTTGTTCAAACAACGCATGCTGCTGACATACTTTATGCTCTTTCTACTCTTCTTTACCTTGGAATCTTTACTCAGCAACCTTTCCTTCCCTCACCATCACTCAAATGCAACAATTTGGACAAAAGAATGTGATGATTACACTTTGAACCGAGATGAGTATAGTGCTGGAGTCCTGTATTATATTTTCACAATTATTTTACTTGTAGTATAGTACACATTTAGAAAACAATTATAGAGTTCATAATCTATGCTCCTCCAGTGTAACTGTTCATTGTGACAGCTTCTACTGTTGTGTCTGTTCAAGCTGTACTGACATTGTTGAAGCTGATGTGAATCTAAACTGTACAGCTCAGAAGAAAACAACTCTTCGCCGCCTATAAATTATGCAATACCATTCTCGTCCTTATCTTTCACTGTACATAACTAACACATGTACTTCACTCGCTTCAGCACAGCGCATTGCCCTCTTTGCTGATCCTGTACTTTTGCTGAATCTTCCGTGCTTATTGCCTCCGGCAAGACTGTTGTGTATGTATAATGTCACTATACAGTTTACTCTACAGTAACGCTGCAACTGAATGGGTCATATGCGAAACTTACTTTAGATAACATGACCTTTCATTTGGAAGTAATATCGTACTAAACTTCAGACAGGGCGAACACACGATTTGCCGGTGTCGTTGATCAATACTATTACTATATCTATCAGTATCACCAAGAGTACATAACTACACACATACTGTGTAGTTATGTACTCTTGGTATCACCAAGAGTACATACAAGTTTATGACTTTTGGTATCACTCATGTCATGATCATGATGATGACGGTGCTCGCTGGACAATATCCTCACAGGGCCTGAACCAGTGAACAACAAGTCAACAGCCAAAAACCAACTATCTACTGACTGTACGTACATGTATGCTATCAGCTATTTTCTTCCAAATCATCGCGATTGATCCGGATAAAAGAGGATTATAGACCGGATAAGCGAGGTATGTTAGTTATGCACAGTCTACGAGTACAGTACTCAGTAGATCTACTTAGGAAGAAGAAAACGACGCCTCGCGCGCATGACCACGATGATCTGACGACATCGCGAGTGGCGCGCGCGGCCGCGCGCACAGCTAGCTAGCTAGCACATCATTTTTGCGAAAAAGGACTTATTATTTTATTTTTGTGCGTGCTGAGAGATAGATCATTGCAAACAGAATTTTAGTTTCGAAAATGGCAGATGAGGACGACAACATTGAGTAAGTTTGCTGATTTGCAAACTGAATTGGACGAGATTAGTAACTTACTTCCACAATCTTTTTGCTGAATAGCTTTGGGGATGACTTTCCCGAAGATGATGACGAAGATCATGACTTTGAGGACGTTGCGGTAAGTATAATTATCTTGGTTGCTGAGAATATTTTTTCAAGAATTACTGACGCAGTGATTATGGACTTCGTCGTGCTCACCAGGATCAGGCAGAGGCGAATGTAGAGATCTTGCAGTCTGGTAAGTCCAAAAACACTGCTGAAGACCGGGCTACTGTAGTTATACTGCCAGTCTGCATTCGTGTCAATTTTATCTCATGAAAACGTGTGCTAATCAAAATTCATAATTTTGAATTTTTGATGAAGTGATCAGCTCTTGATCATGGGCGTTCCTGAAGAGTCTCATGATGTTCATGTCTTTGGGGAAATACTAGTACTGTGCAACCTGAGAATGGCGATTCTCTTTTCTGTTTTCCCCAAGTACAGTATATACGTGTCTACATTATGGTGGTGCTAGCGTGCAAGTTTGTACTTCAAGGGGGCTGCTAAAAGCTGTCCACATTCCCAGGTATCCTTTAAGGCAGGTTCTACTGTATCCTGGGTTGGAACTCTCAGTTTGTTTATTACCATTTGCTTCCTCTCACACTTCATTGACAACTGTAGCATGTATCATCCCGTGATGTACACGACGGCAGGAATCATCCCGTGCGTGATGCTGCCATGGAGGTTCAGTCCCATGTACTCATATTTTGGCGCGAACGTATCCCGCGAGCTATCGTGGTATGGTCCCAGTTCCGTGAGGGGGCTGGGAAATGCATACCGTGGCATTCCGTGGACTCTTTTGTACTTCGGCTACTCTACATGCATCCTGCTATGTGGATTGATTTTCGTTTTTCCCGTATCACGGGAAGCTCTCGGGATCACATGCTTCACTTCCCGGCGGGATGCATTGCCGTTGTGTAAATCACCTCTTACAGGAATATTAGGAAGTACAGTGCTGCTCAATGAAATCCAATCTCGTGAGTACTGTGCGGCACTGTGCAGCACTGTGCAGCACTCCACCTGCGACCTAGTGCAGGGTGCAATCTTGACTGACACGATCAAAGATCATTGAGCAGCATTGCACAACATTGCAGCTAGTGTTCAAGGTGGTAAAATACTTTCTCACTCATGTTGCCTATGATTTGCTGGCGGTTCCTATACTAAACACTAACGTTACACTGCTCTAGGGCGTATCTCCTAACGTGCTAAATGATTTTCCCTGGCTGGAAAATGTGTTTTCTTCAACTTTATCCACCAATAACAAAAAGAAGCTTTTCAAATCTAGCAGCTATCAGGCATATTCAAAGCAGTACATACAAAGTGGAGTTTGGTTGTTTAGCAGTGCTAATCATCCAAAGTCGCAGCTAAACACTACTCGAAGTGTTGACGGTTTGTGCTTTGAACATGGATGCAGTAGAGGCAGAAGCTGTTGATGACCACTCTGAAGGTGTTGTCATGGCTATCAATCTCAGCATGCAATGCTTGTGTAGAATACCGAACATTGTTGTTTTGATATTCAAAGCACCTAAACAAACTCGCTTGATTTGGCCCATGGCAGAATTTGTGTGTGTGTGTGTGTGTCAGATACCGAATATTAACCTGTCAGTGTTGTACCTTGTCGTACTGTCTGACTGTATTATGGTCTGGTTACTTTGGTGCACAGTTATCCTAAACTCGTAACGTTTTGTCCTTCCCCTTTTTCCGTGATTACATTGGCTTACCATCCGAGTTCACAGATGACTAAGTACAGTGTGTAGTGAAATTAGTACTATTGCTACTGTGTGTAATGATAATCAAATGTATTGTTTGACAGCGCCTTCTTGTAATACATGTATGAATACGCAATTGCTTTCAGCTGATGTCGCCGGTGACAGTGGAGAGCCTCGCAAGCGTGTCACCACGCCTTACATGACTAAATATGAGCGGGCACGCGTACTCGGCACAAGAGCTCTACAGATTTCGTAAGTCTTACAAACTTGCTGCATTGTATGAATAGTGATTGCAGATTCTGTTTGCAAAAAGTAATAGTACTGTCCACGCGCGCATGTGTGTGTACCGTATTTTCCCCAATAAACGTACACGTTTCCAATACCAGTATGTCCCCAACAGTAGTTCACGTTGAGTGTGGATCGAAAATATAAAAGGACACGTCTCTAATTGTAGTACATGCCAGAATGATGTGATGGACTTTTACTGGGATATTATATGTACCTGGATCCACCTTACTTCGTATTTCTTACCCAATAATCATCTTTGTGCCTTTCTACATGGCGTGGTACCCTGACTGGAGTGTTATTACAGGCATCTTTCGTTATTTAGGCCCCTTGCACACTACGTACAAGTAAAACGTTGCTTTTTAGCATATGCGTCACTTTCAAGCAAGTCCCGATCAGTTCCATTGCACACGTACACTTGAAAAGACATTTTCGTTTTAATAAAATACTCATAAAATTTTCTATGGCAACTGCCGCCTCACCGGTGCTGCATGGAGATAGTGCGGGAAATTTAAAAAAAAATTAAACTTTTCTCTCCGAGCTTGGTCTGCAGAAATGTTTGTCGAGTGTTGGTGAAATGCTATCACTTCGACATGGATCTGCGACTTCCCATCGAATGCCATGTCCAGGCCAACACTCCTAGCATCCAGATTGAGGTCTTCAGCGATCTCTTTCTCCTTCTGTGACCTCTTCTTCATCGTTCCACTTTTCACCCGCTGGTAGTGTGCCCACAGCTCGATCAACTTCCCCTCCATCTCATCATTGAACACAACTTTCGGCATGCTGAACTTCATCTTTTTAAACTAGCTTCAACGCGACAGAAGGAAACAAACAACGTGCAACTACTCAAAACAAGGAACAAATCGAAAGGAAAAAAGAGCTGACGACAAGAGTCAAGAAGTCTCACGGACGGACAGGTGCAAAGCAAACTACAGTCCAGAAATGCAAATAAAACATAAACGCGCCTTTGTATACCCGTCTGGAGTTTGCTGAATACGTTTGCGCAACATTTTAGGTTTCCCGCGAAAAGCAGACCGTTTGCATGGTAACTTTTACAGGAACGCAACAAAAATGGGATTTTCTATGTAGTGTGCAAGGGGCCTTACACCCATGGGAGGCGATCAATCTTGCCGGAACCAATAAAAGTACAGTCTCCAATGCTAGTACAGTCTCCTTTACTAGTACAGGGCTGGCCACCTTTGAAAAAAAATAAAACAACTGTACTTTTATTGGGGATAATACGATATGTGGCAGATACCGAATAATAGGTGAATTTCTATTGGAATTGATATCTGTGTTTAGTGTTTTATATATCATCATAAGAAGGAAGGATTCAAACCATCTGCTGTTCTGACTACTGTAAGACATGTATATATAACGAGGAAGCAAATCTAACGTTTTAACGGATGACATTTCTTCGTTATAATAAGATCCGTTGAGGCCGTGCTGCTTCATATATGCTGTGTGTGGATATGGCAGAATACTGCAAGATCGTTAACATATCTTCTCGTTAACCTATGCATTTTAGACAATCGTTAAATTTGCGACTCGTTATAATAACATGTCTTACAGTATTGATTAGATGATGTTATCTTTCTTTTGCAGCTGAAAGTCAGTGGTTTCTGTGAAGAAAGTGGTCTAGCCAAAGGAGGGGGGGGGGGGGGGGCACCACCCTACTGTAACTCACTTTTTGATTTGATGTTTTTTTCAGTTCACACAGCGAAGATGCGGCTAGAAATCAGTCACTATGGGTGCCCTCTGTACCTGTATTTTGCATTTTATTTGTTACAAGGCAATAGTCGAACATGGAAAAAATGGGTGAGCTGTTTGTTTTCCCTACCTAGGACCCTGCATACCACGACCATGTGCATTCTCCGCAGGCTTTCCCCTTCATACTTGCTAGTAGTCAGGCAGGCAGGCATAGTGGAATGTCTAAGACCATGATTGAGAAACAGAGGGTATGAGGTTCAAGTCCTGCTTGGAAGAGGAACGATTTTTTCCAGCCGTGCTGCGACCCACGGTTAATTGGGAACTCGTGGCCTGGCACGAGGGAAGCATGTATGTAGCGAATGGGATTTCCGTTCTTTGACCACTTTGTGGTGGGTCTGATCTACTCACCTCCCACCGCTTATGAGCTGCGTCTGCGCCTTGATCCTAGAGGGTGGTGGCGTTCCTGCCTTGATCCTAGAGGGTGGTGGCGGTCCTGCCTTGATCCTAGAGGGTGGTGGCGTTCCTGCCTTGATCCTAGAGGGTGGTGGCGTTCCTGCGGATGCGGAAAACTCGACCTCCAGCCGAGTCTCACATGAACCGTGAAAATTGTTTTGCTGGTTGTCCTTGATGTACTGTATTGTGATTATTTCTTTTAGGATGAATGCCCCGATCATGGTGGAACTGGAGGGTGAAACCGACCCCCTCGCTATTGCCACGAAAGAGCTGAAGTAAGTGCTATTGTAGTTTCTTATGATTGTATGATAGCGCAGTGGAGGACATGGGACTTGTAGGCTGGGGTCTGACTCGGTTGTATGGTGGCTTGCAGTTCTGCGTATGAGTTGAGAGAAGCGTATCCATATCGGATATTGCATCATATTTAAATCTGTGATGGTAGCCATGACCTTCAACTGTACTGTATAAATGTCGCACTGCTTTGGTGCGACATGCAACAACAATTCACAGTGAACTATACAAACGTCGAAAGTGATTTTATTGACAAACCTCACATTTTCTAAATGTGTACTTCAGTATGCAGTATGCTCCTAGGCATAATAGCGCCGCGTTTCTGTTACACATTCACGCTCCAAAAACAGATCTGAGGGCCGCAGGGGCCTCATGAGCCTTGGCGCTGCTTTCGACATGTGGGTTGGATTTTTTTGGCCATGACTGTAGTTGACAGAACGTAAGAGTAACTCAGTCTCTTCTCTCGTCCAATGAAAACATTCACGTAGCATCCATGCCCCTCCCTCAGCCTCATGTTCTTCGACACGTGAGCTTGATTCTTAGTTTACAATGACATCATTTTAGCAGACTGGCAAACTGATTACTTGACTGCTGTTTTGTTGTTGTTCTTGTTCTTCAGGGCTCGTAAAATCCCTTTCATAATTCGCCGCTATTTGCCAGATGGTAGTCACGAGGACTGGAGTATAGAGGAACTTATTGTCACGGGCATTTAGAGTGGCGACTGCTCTCTGCTGATTTTTATCTACCAGCTTCTATTGCAATGCTTCTTCGTATTCCTGCTGAGCGGAGTATTGTACCCATGGACAAAACCATGCAGGACGCCAGACACTATAGGAGAAAGCAATCCAAGCGTTCACAAGACTATGTTTACGGACATAAAATGCACAGTACAACGTACAAGATTCAGTGACTTCTGGGTTCGGATGATCGAGGTACATGTGTTTGGATAGCCAGGGTATTGTGACGTGTGCGCCACAGGTGCCGGTGTCTTTGGAATACATGTACTGGTTCCATACTTGATATGTGCAGTATTATGCACTCATGCCTAATTGTTTCTGCAGTTACCAACCAGTGCCACCCTGGGTCTCATTCAATCAGCTGAAATGGAGGTCAGGTGTGAAGTGCGAGGTGATTTGTCCCCGTGAATTTCGCGATTCTGCGGATTTCAGAATGTTCGCAGAATTTAGAAAATCTCGCGGGCTCTTGCAGAAAAGGATGATAAACTGCTTTTTTTCTGCAAGCTTGTGATGTATTCCACAGCCAAGCCTGTCTGATCATGACGTTACTACTACTTTAGCTACATGGATTTTTTTGGCCCATATGGTTTCATATTTTTTTGTTTAAAATTTATCTCTTTGTCTTGTGCCAGTTTATCTTAAGTTATGGTTTATGGGGTATTCACACGACAGGCACTTGCACGTTTTACAGGGAGTGACATACGAGAAAAGTGACTGTGTGGATTCACACAGCAGTCACTCGACGACAGGAACGTTTGCATTTTTGAATGCTTCACCGACCCGTATAGTAGCCATGGGTATTTCAAATTTTCAAAACACACATACAATAATAATCATGCTCTAAAGAGCCGCGTAAAAAATCAAGTCTTGTTTCTCGCTTTTTGGTGTAAATGTACTCGTGCACGCCACGATCATCGTGAAAGTGGGCCCCCAGCTCGCTTTCACTTTTCAGCCACTTTCAGGCACTTTTCTCGTTCACAGGTAAAATACCATAGCAACTTTCCGGTGCACGTGGATTTGCCTGTCGTGGGAAAACCCCATTAGGATTTGCCTTCAAGGCACTTTTCTATGCTTGAAATGATCACAAGTGATTGGATATCATCACATAATAATATTACATGTATCTTTACTTATAAAGAAGAGGCACCTGTGACGTGTGTCTGTGTGTGTGTCACGCTCCTTATAAAGAAGAGGCACCTGTGACGTGTGTTTTGTGTCACGCTGAAGCGCTGAGGAGCAGCGCTGCCCGGCGCCCTGAGCACGCGAAGCGTGCGAACAGTGTATAGCACAGTGTAGCTAGCGGCCGCAGAAGCACTGAGCGCGCGAAGCGTGCGAATCGTGTAGATAGCAGACACGATCCGTACGAGTAGCAGTAGCAGCCGCGCGCAGAAGCATTGAGCACGCGAAGCGTGCGAATCATGTAGCCACCTACTAGCCTAGGCCATAGGTAGCACTAGCAGCCGCACAAGCGCTGCGGACCACGTGAACCGTTCTCTGCAAATAGAAACATCTGCAACAAAAGGATACAAAAGATCTGCACTGACTGCACTCTGCATCTGATTGATCTGCAGTGAAGAGCGCATCGCACTTTTGTTCGTAAGTTTATGAAATTTTTGGAGCCGCTTCATCCGCCACCAGGTGATGGACAACCCTGACCAGCCTCCCGAAGGCGTAACAGACGTCCCTCCTTCTCCTTCCAACCATGAAGAACCTCCCTCACCAGGACTTCAGCGGTCTGGCCACCACCACGTGCTGAGCACGTGTGCTGTTCATGTACTTGCTTCACCCGCATGCCACATTCGGCCAGGCAACGCTGGCCGGGGGTGCTGCTAGTTATGTATAAATTAGGGCTCAAACGGTCACGGTTTTACCCCTGACGGTTAACTGCTAAGCTAACGGTCGGTTATAACCAAGAGTCCATAACCCAAGAGTATGCAACTGTGATCTCTTTTCTATGGGCCAACCGCGCGGCGCGCTGCCTTCATTACATCATTCAGCTGCAGGCCGCGCACTGCGGAAAATCAAACACCGCACTTTCCCTCTAGTTTGAAATGAACTTTCGTACGGAACTGGAGTTCACGCGCCAGAATTCAGAGATTGTGTAGGTACTGGAACGAATCGAGCAAAAACGGATGGGCTCGTGCGAGAAATTGAGAGTTTGAATGCATGCTTCCAGAGCGTGATGAAGGCAAGTTACGTAATGAAGGCAGCGCGCCACGCGCACGCATGCACCCATAATCACAGTTGCATACTCTTGGGTTATGGACTCTTGTTATAACCTATAACTAAGCCACGGCAATCCTGCGGACTCTTTTTTAACCGTATATTTGACTATAATCATTCTAAAAATGTACCCTATTCAGTACAACGTACACTTGTACATTCTCTTGCATGCTCATTCATACATACTCTCACACCAAGAGACCAGATATATATGACCGAGTTGACAGCCCAGAAATTGCGTACGCGTGCGACAGCCCGCGAAAGTGCACACTTTGCAACGACCTGATACTTGAAAAATTGACTGAAAAGTTACTGCGTAACTGTTATCTTTATCGGTTAACCGTTAACCCATTGACTGCTGAGCCCGAATATATTCGGGATTCAGGATGACGTCAGGGCGCTGAGCCCGAATATACTCGGGCTGACAGGCTATCCTACCGTACTAAGCTCCGTGTTCCAGCGTAGGGTTGCAAGAGACCCCAGAGTCGAGCGGTACATTTCCTGCATTCAGTACGAGAGGTTGCGGGTACGAATCCCGCTTGGATACTTTTTTTCTTCTTTTTCGTCCGGTGATTCAACTCAAATTGGCGACTTTTTCGTATTTTACGCAATTTGGATGAACTTACGTGTCATATAGCATTTTGTTCCCCTTTCTAGGAACTATATCGAGTTGGTCAGCGTGATGATTATAGCCTTGGTCAACATTTCACAAGAGTTCAACAACCTAGTTTCTTAGACTATGAAGTTGTGGAGCTGTACATTGGCCATATTTTTAGCATTTTCTTCAGAGTCTCAGATGAAAGGCCCTGTAGCCCTCAATGGGTTAATTCTTCGTAACCGGTCTGCAACCGGTTAATCGGACTAATCGTTTGAGCCCTAGTATAAATGCCGAGGTACGTGTAGTTCATGCACTTGTCCTGCGAGCTCAGATCAGGGAGTCGTGCCCAAACCTTTTGTTTGGGTACGCCTCTCTGACCATACACTGTGAGGTGCATTTCCTAGTCTTCGCACATGCATGAATCCATTTCGCTTTCACACACACAGCCGAATACAAGAACGGTACAAAGTCAAAACTCATACCACATGGGCTTGTTTGGATGTTGAAGCTTACAATGTGCTCCTATCGTGCTTCTGTATGGGTGGGCAAACATGTGTGTGTGCGTGTGTGTGTCAGCCAGTTACTGTTAGTTCCGTTGGTAGGTACACTTATGCCTGATTGTGTCAGGTCTGTTGCCAACGAGCTCGGCTGCTTGAAGGTGTAATGTTGTACCTTTGTTGGTTCCGGGGTTCATATGCATATACTTTCTATTAATTTTGAAGTGTACATACTGTTAACCATGGACTGCTTCTGGCTAGATTCACTCTGATTTAGCCACCCACACTAGTAGCAAGTATTACCTTCACTGGGGGCAGGGGTAACTGCAGTTGAATCCCTGGACAGATACCTTGATGCCGTCAATCCTTTTTCTGCACCTTGTCCTCACCCACTTGAGGTGTGGTGCATGAGGGGTCATTTTCAAGTCCACCCCGAGTTTTGGAGATTTCAGGGGGCGTCGGCCGTTGGGCGGTTCAATAGCCAGTTGAGTCATCATTCCAAGATTCCTATTGTGTATCTCTCCCCTCTCCCGGGGAGACCCACGTGACCAGTTTTGGCAGTGAGCAACAGGTACAAGTGTGTGTGTGTGTGTGTGTGTAGAGAACAGGTGTCTGCGTTGGAGTCTACGGCTTCGGGTGTTTGGGGTCCAGATTTCCATGCGGAGATAAGGTTCTCTACCCTGCAGCACATGCAAAGAAGATGCGTACGAGTACGGATCTGCTGGGTATCATTCAAATCAAGCAGAAAACTTCCAAATTTGGAACAGGAAATTCCCAGTAGTACACATTCCACGTGATTTCTTTACAGAACATCACTAGCACGCTGCGTAGGAATTTTTCCTATGGAGAAATAATTTATATAGCGGGTTACATGTGTACAGGCTAATGAAATTACTGTTGCCTTCACACAGCCACAATAGTACACCTACAGTAGAGTCGCGCACCCAAGAACGTTGTTTCCAAGGGCTTAGCCTGGGACGCTCTTATTTCTCAACAATCTGGCTGCGTTCTTAGAAACAATTCCTACTGGACCATATCCATAGTACATGTTCTGTACTCTTGATCATAACTACCGTTGTGGGCATGGAAATCCAGTCGATTGACCGGGGCCGGCACCCTCACTGAGCCTTAGCGCGTATAGAACAGTGCCAAGTCATGCGCGCGAGCTGCAGTGCGTATGTGTGTACTGCTTACCCACGGCTGCATGGCCAGCGCCCTGGGGCCGCTAGACGTGCGACCGGATTTCCATGTCCACGACAGTAGTATGCATCCCAAAAGCTACCAAAAAACTAACACCACCGTTCTCAACCTGAGCCTGAGGCTATGGCGTTCTTGGGCTCCACGTTCTTCGGCACGCGACTCTACTGTATGACAGAAGGAAAGCTTTCTCTGTACTTGTCATCAGAATCAGCAGTCAGTATGAACACACAAGCAGTCGCCTCGTTGCCCATATTCTGGAAGGAGAGTCCACCGGACCTAGAATTACCTGCATGAAAATACAAGTAATGGCTTACTTTTAAATTTCAGTTCCGCATGAAGCATCACAAATGTTACGTACTGTGATACATTACTACACATACTGCTGTTTTCACCTATTACGCTCAATGTCACCTGACTGACTTGCAACTGAACTGTAAAGCATGTTAAAGTTTCTTCACAATCAAACTTGTCAACAGTGCGCACACCAAAACTCGGCACTACGGAACGATAGCACTTGCACTGCAGGGTTCAAGCCAGGTCAAAATACTAGGGGGGGGGGGGGGGGGGGGGCAGGGAAAACAGTTACCCTGTAGGCTGTAACCCATTATTTCCATTTTCAAAATAACTGTCTTGCAATGCGAAATGCAACGTACGGGGCAAACACCTGACTTCACCCCAGACAAATGTGCCTTTATGAACCCTCTAGTACTGATTATCGACCCTGCATTAGTTGCACATCCTACCACAACAAGTCTATAATTATACGGTGTAGCATTGTTGATGAAAATGTTCACTCATTAGTAGTCATTACTCAAGATGCGGTTGATGTCACAGCACTATACCACTAAAATTGATGTGGTTGTGAACCGGGCCAGTACGGGTGTAGGGATGACTAAAAATCAGGTCCCAGGTAAGCACCGGCACTCCAGTCTCCAGTGTACATAGGAAAGAAGCACCAGCACACCAGTATAAGGAACACAATTTTACACATACATGCATGGTGAAATACGTTTAAAAAGTAAGAAAAAAGGGCACACGCGTAAGCGCCAGCGCACACGCATGCCGTATGGATTGGTTCTATTAGGATCAGTGTCATGAAGCAATGTCCAACACTGCCGATTGAAGATTGTCACATTGTCTAAATACTGCAGCATCCAAGTACGCACTGTTCACTGATACGCACAACACCAGAACAACACTAATCAAGATCATCTTCATTCACATCATAGCGTTCTAACCTTCGTTCTAGTACAAGCCATCGGCCAAACAGGCCAATGTCAAGGAAATAGCTTTGCCATCCTAGTAAGGGAGGTCTTACAAGCTTTGATTGGCAAGAGTACAGCTCGCATCCTTCTGATTGCGTAGGATCAGCATGGATAAGTGTGAAGAAAATCATGTCCTTTACTCTCAGCTTGCCCGAATTCACAGCCACACGTCGCTCCATTAGGGCTTCCACGGCACATTTGTTACGACTACTTTCTGCCACAAGAGCAACATCATTTGCTCCGCGCAACAACGCATCTAGGTAATCCTGCTTGTCAGGGTGCGTCCGGAAAGCATGGAGAGTAGTCAAAAGACCAGAAGAGATGATTATAGCTCGAAGAGGACGTTTTCGAGAACCATCTGCGACGTCAATTGCCACATCTCGATAGTCTAACGCAACAGTACGAACTCTGTTCTTGATGCTGATCCAGCCATTCCGCACAATACTAGATATCCTTGCAGCCATTGTTAGCCATTGTATTGCAAAATTAACAGGAGAAGCGAGAATCTTGAGATGATCCAATTCTCATCATGCAGATCATAATATAATTGCACCAACGCAACATAATTATTTGAAACGCTGCATTACAAATGAATGAATCATCAAAAACATGCTGCAACAAACGCCATTATTGTCATGGGGACGAGGCTGGAAGCGGCAATGGTGCTCCAGATCCGAGGGACAACGCGTCACGCAGATCAGTTGTAGACTCCGACGATCCGAACTGCCACTGGTCTTTGTATTGTGTCTTTGATTGAAGTAACCTGGTAACTATGTTACTTCTACTAGTTCTAGTTTGATCCTTCATTTCCTCTTTTACATGTAAGCTCTCGTCATCAAAACTGACCAAGTCAAGTGGCCTGCCACTGATAATGTTTACCTGCCCAAGGGATTGCCAAGTACTTGGCTGAGAGTGAGAATCAACAAACAATAGCAGCAGTCTTAGACAGCCTCAAATGGCTCAAATCTTCAGCAGTGCACATGTCTGTGGTGTTGCCTTTGGAGTCCTGCTGTCAAGCTTGACTGTCGAGGAGTGAAGGTGTCGGACTTTGCTCGCCTCCCATTGCTTCATTATTTCATAGCAATGAGCTCTTCAGTCTTCACTTCACCTATTTAGAGGCATCTGTACAAAAGCAGCTGATTTGGCTGATACGGTCCAGGATGTCACGAAGCGCGCACAGCCGCAGCTATGCCCCCAGTGGCACAGCGGATACCGAGCTGAACATTGTGAATTTCATGGACAGCGACGTGTAAGGCTTCCGACATGATGATCTTGTTGTTTTTCATACAATTACGGTTTGCACGTACAAAAGGCAACTGGCTTGGTTTGAAACTTGCTTGAAGTTGAACGACTTGGATTTTCGTATGCGTGCGTGATCAGTTTCATCATTGTCTTGGTGTTTATCTATATGACGTGTGCACTGGTTTGATGGATATCTTCCAGGGCCAAGGTGTTATTGTTCTTGGGACATGATTCAGATTGTATATGGATAGGCTGTATGTTGACCTGCTGTCCGCCACACACCCCTGATCCGAAGCATTACATAATCGTGTGTGTGTGTGTGTGTGTGTGTGTGTGTGTGTGTGTGTGTGTGTGTGTGTGTGTACATGATTGTAACAATCATGTAGTTGTGCTGCCTGCATGATTGATGTGGGTGCATTGTCCAAGGGTGGAAACTGTACTGTTAGATTGTACGAGTGTTTTCAACCTGCTTTCTGCACCCAACCCACCTGCGGCCTGGTGCAAATTTAGAGCCACCTCTGAGGGGAAGGCCAGGAGGAAGTTCATCCGAAAGGCAGTGTACAATGGTGCTTGGCAGCCTGGTATTGCTTGCAGGCTGGTGGCCATGATGTCATGTAAATTGTATGACATCATCATCATCATCATGATTCATGTCACTTATTCAGGCAGTACAACAGTGCGAATGACGCAATGAGTACGGTGATTGCGGTAGAATCTCTCAAACAGAACACCGTCACCAGGGCCTAGCGCCTAGGGACCAGACACATGCATCCTGGAAGATGTCCTGCTTAACAGGATTGCAATTGCACATGAGGTGTAACAGTTAGCTAGATACGATCACTTATATTTCCTGTATTTTCCATGAGGGACGCTTCACAAGGCAGTGATCGTACCTACATGTAGCTAACTGCTGGCATTTTCTTTTTGCTTCCTATTCTGATTCAGATCCAACATTTCAATTGAAAGCTTCAAGTTTGACAAGACATTGGCAGCCAAAGCTTACGTATACCTAGTGAAAGACCCAAAGTGGAGTAAGTTGTGTGTTATTATTTGTACTTGTACATGTACTTGGACAATTAATTTTTAGAAGAGTGACATATGATTCATGGTGGAACACACTGAGCAAAACACCTTGTAGCGAACTCCTGCCAACTTATTTATTTATCAAGACAAACAACCTACAAACAGCTACTTTGAAGTAGTAGAAGTAAGAAGAGAGAAGAGCTACAACAAGCAACATAAGACCGAGTATCCAAACGCTGGTCTGGGTATGGAAGGTGGGGAGAAAGCGTACGTGCAAAGAGGTGCACCGACAGGCATACCAAGGGCGTGTAAACATGGTGCGCATAAGCCAAAAGCAGCACTCGCGTACAGTTCATGCGGGGTTCATGCAGAGGTGTGAAAGCTGTGTACAGTTATGAGTATCATTTCGCTACACAACTTGGACATCATCAGCTACCTCAACTTGTCCATCTCTGTGAGTAATGGTGCTGTGCAGTGGGAGTTGTTTGTGTGACCCAGTCATATGGCGCCCTTCTGACGTACGAGTCATTGCCATTGGGAGTGAAGCGATTCCGGCATGCACACATCACGACATCAACTGCCATTGGGGGAGAGAGGGAGAGAGAGGAGAGAAGAAAGTTGAGGCTTTACTACATGCCAAGAAATACCCATGACATGCTATTCTAGTAGCCAAGCACCATGCAAGCACCATGCAAGCACCATGCAAGCACCATGCAAGCACCATGCAAGCACCATGCAAGCACATCAAGATCATCCATCAGACAACAATTGTGCACGTCCATCATCAAACTACCCTTTGTCAAGGATCATTTAGCTCGTGCTGTTTGCCGTACGGTCCTGTCGTTTAGCAAGGATGTGTGTGTAGTTTCCCAGTCAGTTCGGTCACTGCAGAATTAAGGAGACCTACAAGAGAAAGAAAGTTTTCTTCCGATTATCATCTTCTTTCCTTCATTTTTTTTCTTCTCTTGCCATGGCTGGCTAACGCCCCCTCCTTTGCATTGGCTTCTGCCATTGGACGGTGAAATAAATAAATAAATAAATAAATAAAAGAGAGGGCGAGGTAGGCCTGTTGAATGTTGTACGTGTGATGCTGGAATGCAGAGTGGTCAATGCTTGTTCCAGGATGTCATCTGTTCAATATTGTGTTTACTTTGCACCGAGGAGTATGTTACTGAGATGGAGAGTACCGCCAGGGAGTGGTTCGAGGAGCCAGCGTGAAAGCGCTAGATATATTTTGGGAGAACGCTATGTACAACAACATACTCATCAAGCTAGCACCTCAAAACCCATCACCAATGCATCAATTCTCACCACGGTCGTCCCTTGTAAATCGCTGTATACATCAAGCAACATTCATTTGCGATAAGCGTCCTACTGTAGACAGATACTGTGGCTGGAGACTGCTGAACACAGTGTGAAGTATGACATATTCTAGTGTGGTGATAGACTTTGACTGTGATGTTGTTACACATAATGCCGCAATAATGTTTGATGTATAGGTGCGCTAGCTGCTTGTGCCGTACCTAGCAGATAATTATATTGACACTTAGCTTCAAATATATGGCTCCAGCTCCACCGCATTTCTTTTCTATTTCACACTAACTGCAACATATCCACGCACAGACATAGCTCCCCATTTCTCTCCCTCTCCTTCTCCCAACACTTATTCACCAGCGTTCATACTCTCCGCACATGCACACCTAAGCTGATGCATTTCTCACATTCCTCATCTTAGCACTATCCTGCTGCACCTCAAAGCATATCTAGTATTATCTACTCTATGTCTTTGTGGCTCGTCTTTAATTTCATTGTTTTTCCCTGAGGGTGGGCCATGCCCGAAAATTTGGTGAATAGAGAGACTAGTTTTCGCCGCGAATAGATCATCATGATGTGCTGAGTGTTCAGACTAAAAAGTAGGTATAGTGTGTAGGTGGCTGCTATGGAGTTGTAAAAACTAGGTATAGTGTGTAGGTGGCTGCTATGGAGTTGGAGAACCCTTCTAAAAGAGGTACTGATACGGTGTATTTAGCTGAAGACGACCACTGGCACTTTGGAATAAGAAGCGTACGTGGCTGTATCTACCGTCAAAGTTATTTTTCGTAAACAAATTAAAAAAGAAGGGCTGGGAGAGAGAGAGAGAGAGAGAAAGAGAGGGGGGGGGGGGGGGGCATATTCGCGCAAGGCATTCTACGCTGATAACTAGAGAGCGAAGCCTCAATTGGCTGAAGCAATCCTACCATTCTGGAACTTACTCTCCACAGGCATGTCTATAGGGATTGCAGCAGGCGGACCACTGGTCTGTCAATCAAGCATGTCTTGGTGGTCATGAGGTGTAAAGTGGTGTGTATACATGTAGTTGTCAATAGCGTATGCCTCTGTGCCTCTGTGCTCTGTGCTCAGTTGGCCGGACTAGGTGTGCTACGTTAGGTGCCTGGTTTGTGCCTTATGCATTTACAAGTAGGTACTCCTGTCACTGAGGCTATTGCATTCACTTGGATCTGTTCCTTTCTTTCTCTGTTCAGGTTTTCGAATCGGTGTTCTGCGCATTTGGATCAAGCTTTTCTCATGTGTCCTGTATGTGGTTGGACGTGTTATTGAAGATAATCGAAGGATAAGCCCGGAATGGTAAGGTGATATATAGGCCAATGTTTGGTGACCAGGTATTTCCACCAAATTTTGACACGAAGCAGTGTACATGTATTGCCACTGTCAGCTGCTGATGCCCGTCATGTAGAATCTACATAGTTCGGAACTACTCCAAAAGACCCCAGGCTACATCTCTGTCTCTGCCCCTTTTCCTCTGCGGGCTGGAGTGTTCAGCGATAGGAGATCCTTATAATGAGAAATCATCTGATAGGAGATCCTTATAGTGAGAAATCATCTGATAGGAGATCCTTATAATGAGAAATCATCTGTGCATTGCTGTGTTCTTGCCATAACAATGGTGTTGAGCCTTGAGGGCGGTTCATTTCGTGATTACAGGAGTCTGCAGCTGTTCTAATTGAATTTCACGTGATTACCACCTCCATGGACCAAAGCATATCTATTCTTCCGGTCTTCTGATTAATTTCAAATGTTACGTTCTGCGCATTGTACCCACTCACCGCGAAAGTGACTGGCTAGAACTAATTCCAATGGGTAGACAGATGTGGCTAATTCAACGTGTTTGAAAAGGCTACACTCATCAGATCGTGCTGCAAGATTGTACCGGGTCACAGGGCAGTTCACATATGTCGTCCAGGCGATGCCGCGGCAGAAATCGCCTGCTGGCATGCGGCCAGGACGGCATATGTGAATGTACTGTGAGGGACTACCTTGTGTTCAATTATAATCACCCTGTAACTGATACACACCGCCCTGAGCACATGGACTCCCATGTGTTAATCGGTACATTGAGCATTCAGCTCATGCAGTCCTTGAAGTGTCTCTTCCGGTGGGTGTCTGTGTGTAACTTCTCTGCAGTGCTGGCTCTAATAGAAATGAAACGTGCGAGTACTTTTGCCCACCTGATCGAGTGGACCAGTTCAACTGCTCGGAATGGTATGTTATGCATATGTATGGAATGGTATGTTATGGATATGTATGGAATGGTATGTTATGCATATGTATGGAATGGTATGTTATGGATATGTATGGAATGGTATGTTATGCATATGTATGGAATGGTATGTTATGCATATGTATGGAATGGTATGTTATGGATATGTATGGAATGGTATGTTATGCATATGTATGGAATGGTATGTTATGGATATGTATGGAATGGTATGTTATGCATATGTATGGAATGGTATGTTATGGATATGTATGGAATGGTATGTTATGCATATGTATGGAATGGTATGTTATGCATATGTATGGAATGGTATGTTATGCATATGTATGGAATGGTATGTTATGCATATGTATGGAATGGTATGTTATGCATATGTATGGAATGGTATGTTATGCATATGTATGGAATGGTATGTTATGCATATGTATGGAATGGTATGTTATGCATATGTATGGAATGGTATGTTATGCATATGTATGGAATGGTATGTTATGCATATGTATGGAATGGTATGTTATGCATATGTATGGAATGGTATGTTATGCATATGTATGGAATGGTATGTTATGCATATGTATGGAATGGTATGTTATGCATATGTATGGAATGGTATGTTATGCATATGTATGGAATGGTATGTTATGCATATGTATGGAATGGTATGTTATGCATATGTATGGAATGGTATGTTATGCATATGTATGGAATGGTATGTTATGCATATGTATGGAATGGTATGTTATGCATATGTATGGAATGGTATGTTATGCATATGTATGGAATGGTATGTTATGCATATGTATGGAATGGTATGTTATGGATATGTATGGAATGGTATGTTATGGATATGTATGGAATGGTATGTTATGCATATGTATGGAATGGTATGTTATGCATATGTATGGAATGGTATGTTATGCATATGTATGGAATGGTATGTTATGCATATGTATGGAATGGTATGTTATGCATATGTATGGAATGGTATGTTATGCATATGTATGGAATGGTATGTTATGGATATGTATGGAATGGTATGTTATGCATATGTATGGAATGGTATGTTATGCATATGTATGGAATGGTATGTTATGCATATGTATGGAATGGTATGTTATGCATATGTATGGAATGGTATGTTATGCATATGTATGGAATGGTATGTTATGCATATGTATGGAATGGTATGTTATGGATATGTATGGAATGGTATGTTATGCATATGTATGGAATGGTATGTTATGCATATGTATGGAATGGTATGTTATGCATATGTATGGAATGGTATGTTATGCATATGTATGGAATGGTATGTTATGCATATGTATGGAATGGTATGTTATGCATATGTATGGAATGGTATGTTATGCATATGTATGGAATGGTATGTTATGGATATGTATGGAATGGTATGTTATGCATATGTATGGAATGGTATGTTATGCATATGTATGGAATGGTATGTTATGCATATGTATGGAATGGTATGTTATGCATATGTATGGAATGGTATGTTATGCATATGTATGGAATGGTATGTTATGGATATGTATGGAATGGTATACTGTAATTGAACAGTTTCAGGATATCATGCCTCTTCTTGTTACACATTCAGATTGGAAAGGGTTTGCTCCTCACACTGGAGCTCGCGCTATTCCGCCGACTTCACTTGGCACTTGACTGACTCACGACTGCCATCCAGAGAACACGAGAAGCCCATCGAACCTTCGACTCGGCGAACCCTTTTCAAACAAATCATCACCGAAGTCGCAACCACTGTTTCGTGCATTCAGATGAGGATGTATCTTTAATATCACAGTAGACCTCTGATAAGACCCATCCCACGGGGAACAGGAGAGGAAAACCCAGACTCAAGATGCCAATGTGGACGGGGAGCAGGGGTGCAACAGCAGGGACTTGATGAGTGGCTTGCGCAGCTATTGCGCAGACATGCTGTGCGTAGAAACACGGCGACTGCTTATGATTACAACGGAAAAGGAAATTAAAAGTGGTGAGAACTTGAAAAAAAATGTATCCAAAGCTGTGTTTAGACAAACCAATGTGTATGCGTATACGTGTGTGCATGCATGTGCGTGTGTGTGTGTGTGTGTTTGTGCATGCGTGTGTGTGTGGTTATTTGTCTGTGTTTGACAGGGAAAACCTACTGTGGCTACACCGGTCTACTGGACTTTGGGTGGCTCAGGTATGCGGCAATGGCATGGCCAGATCTCACTACAGCCAGACCTTGTGTGCCTGCGCACATTTGTTTTTCATGAACACATGTGGATTTGTGATGGAAGTGGATTGCCAATATTCCATAACAATACGCATGCATTATTTTCTGGACATCTGTTCCCGTCAATTCTTTTAGCTGGTTGGCGGCAAGGGGAGCGGATAAATGAACACCGGATAAGGGAGGTTTGATTGGATAAGGGAGGTTTGACTGGATAAGGGAGGTTTGACTGGATAAGGGAGGTTTGACTGGGGTTTGACTGAATATTGTGTCAAAGGAGATTGCTTGTAAGTAGGGACAGATGCCGGGTCAAATGGTGTCAGGTCTTTTCAAGCCTTGCCTTTGCCCCCGTCCTGCACTCCATGCCATTGTGTACAGTTTTGCAGTATATGCAGGAGTACATGAGCATGGGATGCTACATCTAGGTCCTAGTCAATAGTCTCAATACTGCGATTCAAAAGTTATCACCTTGACGCAAGGCTGCCTAAGGTGCACTCCGTTTGATTTCTAGCCACGTCTTCGTTTGTTGCTCAGGGCAACCTCTGGATCAATACTCCTGCTAGGAAACTTCTTAAATACTGTAAATCTACAAAATTTCGGCCGATTCTAATTTCGGGCTCCCAGGGCTAAAGCCTATTTTGGCCCATCCAAATTTTCAGCCTGTACTGCTGCCGCCTGTATACACTGTCACACTGAACTTTCCAAAACAAAATTACGGCCGCAACAAATTTTCGGCCAAACATGACCAGGCCGAAAGTAGCCGAAAATAGAATATTTGTTGATTTACAGTATCAATATCATCAGTGCGAAAATCCTGTCTACTGGGTCTGCGGCGGCGGAACTTTAACTTTATTCCCGTAGCTATGCAGGAGCCGTTACTTCAGTAACGTCTGGCGCTAGCCAGGGTCCACACAGCTTTAATTTGGTATTTGTTTGCGTGTTTGTTTGTTTGTGTTACGCCTGGCGCTATCCGTATCTGACGGCAAAAAAGCATAGGATGTTATAAATTTTTCAATTCTCCTTTTTTTTTCAGGCATATCCTGGGATTCGAACCCGCCCTCTACTTGCTACTCACCTGTTGTTCATAGCTGATTCAGTTTGGTTAAATTTTCTAGTTAAATTGCCTTCTTCTGCGTGCGGCGTGTGTGCATGTGCGTATTGGTGGGTCTGTGCACTCGTCCACTTGTGTTCTTCAGCTAGCTGTTGGTATTCTTTGCATGTTGGAGACGTCTATTTACCTTTACATCGGGGCAGTCTTCACGGTAAGTGCTCCTGCTTCCCAGCAGCCCTCTTCATCTCAACTGCAAAGCTAGGTTCATCAGGCACACAGCGACTCCTCCACTTCTCAATCAGTAGCAGTACTGTACAGTGTATTTGTAAGGCCATCTTCAGCCGTTGAATCAACACCCATACCAGTATGCAAGTTGCAGAATCCCCATTTCATGTTTAAAGCAAAGTACAACTTCCAGCACACAGTACAACCTCAAGAAAGTAACTCTGTTCGATGTGTACCATCGTCCATATCCTTCAGAAGCAAACAGCATCATCTCGTGCCTGGTATTCCTGTTTTTATTTTATTTGCTGATAAGTTACCCTACTGCACCCCTACAGCAGAATCGTGAAGCATCTTCATTAGGCAAATTCTAGATGAGATGTTGAGTGGTAGTGTGTGTGTGTGTGTGTGTGTCTGTCTGTGTGTGTGTCTGTGCGTGTGTGCACGCGTGTGTGTGTGTATTTCTGTGTAGCATTGGAGAGTGTTCCGTGCTGTCAACCGTTATCACATACTGGATTACTTGAACGGAATTCCTTTCCTACTCGGTGTGAGTTCATTGCTGTTTAGCCCGTTGTCGGTTAGCAGATTAGGAGTACAATAGAGAGCACTAATAGTAATAGTAGTATGTCCTGATGTGAAATGCATCACTAGGGTAGAACTAGGCCGTGCCATGGCACGAGTGTCAGTTGATGGTTAAAAGAGCAAGAAGAGCGAGGTGAATTATCAACCAGGACAAGAAGAGATAAGTGTAAATGCGCCAAATGAAGACGACTCAAATGCAAGCAGTTCAAATGCAAGCAGTTCAAATGCAAGCAGTTCAAATGCAAGCAGTTCAAATGCGGAATCAACGCCACGCACTATGTGTCACCAGTGTATACCATATGTGCACACGAATAGTAAAATAGTATGAGTGCCACAGGCATCACCACGCAACATGACAACTTGTTAGAGGTTAGTGCGTACTTATTTCCAAAATTGATTTTCAAGTTCCAATCGTCAGTGGAAAAATAGAACTAGAGCCATGACTTGATTACACAAAACGTTTTTTTGAATGTCCAAGAGAGTGATAGAATTAATGCATAAGTGCTAATACAAGTGAGATGGAGATTACAGATTTGCACCAGATCTGCAGGGAAGGAACAGTATACCTGTGTCATGACCCGACCTCGAGAGCTCAGACTCGACCAGAGTGCCTTCTCTCCAATGTGTCTAGTACACTCGTACACGACACCCCCCTCAGCCGGGCTCGGGCTGGACCAGAGTGCTTTCTCTCCTAGTCTGGTACACTCGTACACGACGTCCCCCTCAGCCAGGCTCAGACTCGACCAGAGTGACCTGACCCTAAAGCTGCTAAGTGGTCCTTTCCGGACCTCCCGACACGGTGCCTTAGTCCTGTGTGTCCCAGTTCGACCAGGAGCACTGATTAGTTCAATTCCTTCCAGTTTTTTTGGATACTTGGGACACTCGGCGTTTCCGCTGAGTGTCCCTGAGCCTGCCGTCTCTAGGAATTGTCATCTGATCCTCCCTTCTGTACCTCCCGATACACTGTCCTAAGTCGGTATTGTGTTTCCCGCGTGTGTTACACACTTCTCACACATTACACCTGCTGGCGTTCTCGTCAGCCTGTGTGTCCTCTCATGAATACCGTAATGTCGCGTGCATTAGCCGGGGCTTATATGCCTATAAGCCGGTGATGGAGTCAGGCTTGTACACAAGACAGGCTTATACACGAGACAGGCTTATATGACAAGCACCACTCAATGACCAGGCTTGTATGCGCAAACTGCTGACTTTTGGACGTCAAAACCAACATTTTCCAACGGGATTTTTTTTCTTTTTTTTCGCAAGTGTACGGTACCATGCAAACATGAACATGTAAAAGGCGCGCTCACCAGTCTTGCGTAGTAGCCCGGCTTACGCACGCGACACGTGGCGCGTCTCGTGTACTGGCCCGGCTTATGCATGCGACAGGCTTGTACGCGAAAAGCTGTTGCAGATTTCATGCTTCTACACGAGACAGGCTTATGCACAAATCCGGCTTATGCACGCGACATTACGGTATGCTGTATCTTAGCCTTGAATGACTAAGAGACGGTATGTATGCTCCACTCATTTTTAGAAAGAAAGTGGACAACGACCACTTTCGTTCTAATGACTGCATGACCATGAAGAAATAGTTCAAACTGCAGCTCCTGATATACCTCCGGCGATGACACTGTGTAAAGTGTGTTGTTACACACCTATACCCGTTCTTACCGCTGAACAAGCGTGACTCCAGAGTCCCAACCCTGTATGTCAATTTCACTGCCAAATATTTACATCCCGAACCAGCGGGCCCTCTTTTGAGTACACTACTCATCGGTTCTAGATATATGCCCAGGTTCCTCGCTCCATGTATCAAAGGCGTATACATGCTGCCAGGTTCTGACCAAACAATCTCAAGAAAATGAGACTTCCCCACAGTTTTGGTCCTAGCCTCCATTCCTCACAATACACGCGATCAGAGCGCAAACAGGTTCAGATATAAACTACTTTTATTGGATCGACAAAATATCAATGTGTGTTTCAAAGAGTCCGCATCATGATGATTTGTCTGGGGTAGTTGGCAAGTCTGCCTGCACCTCCGCGTCCTTGGATTTTGGAGTCTTGTCCTTCTTAGGCTTACGTGAGTTTTTACGAGTTTTCTTCTCGGTGGTTCCTCTTCTTCTTCCGGATGATGGCCGGCATGCCAGCACAATATCCGGCAGGATATGAGGGACAGAAAGTCCAAATCGTCCTTCAATTTCCTGATATGTCGTCCTTGGTCGGGTCGACCCGACGCCATCGAACAGTGCTATCGCCCTTTCGAGACACTGCATAGTTGGCATTTCTCGCCCCTGGCCTGCTTCCTGGGTGAGGGAGTTGATCTCCTCGATCATTTCCTGTGCCATTCTGGATAAGACAAAAACGCCACACCAGAAGAAAAGAACCGAGGATTAGTTCACATTGAGTGACGGATCCTGGTCACAGCACCTAATGTCATGACCCGACCTCGAGGGTCAGTCAAAAGCCTGCGTTGCGAACAACACCGAATATGACCGCCACGAAGTGTGAGCAAGACCCAGAATCCCAAGTGCACGATATATGCACGCCATCACTCAACAGCCCACCAAGAGTTCCATTTCCAAGGACATACCTTGTAGATAGGTCAGAGGTAGAATAGGAAAGAGGAGATAACAGATAGAAGCAGTGCCGAAGCGAGAGAGCGAATGTGACAAAGACAGGGACTTGTATTCATAACAACAGCCAATCAGAGCACACATACTGTACTCACTAGTCTTATTAGACGGCGGGACACGGGGACAAGTAACGGTAAAAAGCTAGTTTCATAATAATTGAGCGCCTCATCACGGCGGGATAACGGAGTGTAAGAATGGTAGAAGATACTAGTAGATTGTATTACAGCTGGAGAACAAGGCGCCAGATTATTGCAGTTTCATAGCAGTTGTATAATGTTATATACACAGAAGCCTTGCTTGGTAGTTTAACATGTTACAATTATAATGTTGTAAGTGCGTAAGGCTACGCTGTTATATGAAGTCATAATGATGTAGTGAGTTGCCGTACTGTGGTGCTGGCGCGACTCATCAGTTTGCCGAGCGCTTGTCAGCTGGTGGCGATCCCTCGCCTGCCAGGCTTGTCACGAGTGCTGTGCGTCGTCGACCTCGGGTCACGACACCTGTATTCGCCATTTAGCAGAGTGTGGACGAGGGAAAAGTGAAGTAGGCCGTTTGGGTGGCTTGCTCAAGAAATCACGACAAGTAGAAAGGGACATAGAAAGGATTGGCATGTGTTTGAACTTGCCATTACAGAGGTAGGATTGTGTTTTTAAAACTTTTACAAGCCGTATTGTACTGACACGCTGACAAACTTCATCAACCATTGTTCCGGCGCGTCGTCATTCCTTCACATTCAGCGTTTGCATTTTGCAGTAAAGAAACCCTTGATGCAATCGTATTTGGCTCATGTGTTGTTCTGGTGTAGCTATTCAGTGTCAATCTACGGAACCTGTTCGTGCCCGTCTTCCTCAATGTCTGGTCCGCCAAGCTGATCTTGACTGTTCTT